GCAGGATGCATAGGAATGGAAAACTGTCACGTAACTCATTCCCTTCGGACAATAGCAGAAACAATTCATATCCACATCAAAGTTATAAAGCGGTTTCTTCAACGAAGAGATGAACTTCTGCAAAAACAGACAAAACTTGTTTCCCTTGGGAACAGTCACAAACACATGTTTCTTCCTTCTCAACTGCCACTCAATCACATTACAACATAGCAACCAAATAGAAGCTCTGTTCTGTTTGGGAGAAGGGTTGTTGATCACTATACAGTGGGGCTGCAATCTCTCCAGTTGCTGCCAAATACCATCTTGACCCTTCATAGTGGAAAAGTTGTATCCTGCCTTGAAATCCATAGGCGACGCAACTCTAACACCATTCTTTGAAAGGAACCACCAAGATAATCCACTGTTTCCATGAAGTAACTCAACAACATCAGGATGATCATCATTACAGAAGAAAAAGGAGTGTTCTCCAAATTCGGCATCAACATACAGTTCGTGATCTTCACGTAAGTTCTCCGGATTCTCATCGTCTAATGCCGGTATGGAAACATCATGCCACTCATCGTGATCGCGTCTAACCTTTGACTGATTCACACGTATCACTGCCTTACCAGTATTGGCTTGGACCATAGCTCCTTCTTGTCCAAGTACTATGGCACGAACCCAACGTCCTTTATCCTTGAACTTTGATGAATCCTGAGTCCAAACAAAAACCTTCTCTCCTTGGAAATAAGGACCGTCACTTGGCATAGTCCTTCTTGCAAGATCTGCTCGAAGGTCCTGAGCTTGTCGTGCTTCTTGATGAGCTCTCAAAGCTACACGTTGTAGTTCCAGATTTGTACGATCTTGTGCGGCTGCACTAGCTGACAATTGCTCAGGGCTTGCGGTCTCAAGGTCAAAAAGATCTGGTGGACGTCTTCCAGTTGCTATCTCTATTGGTGAATATCCACTGATAGTCAACTGACAATTTCTTGCCCAAACTACCTTCTTGACCACTTCTCTGACCGTAACACCACGAAAACGTGGGTCATCCAGATCTACCTTCATAACATGCCACATACGTTTGAACAAACGTACAGCTGTCTCTGCTCGGTTCGGCCAAGGAGTTCTTGGCCCACAAGGACATTGTTGTATACCATGGAACCTGTAGTATTCAACAAAAGCATCTGTGAAAAAGGCTTCGTCTCCTACGATGGCCTTCGGAACACAATTGTTCTCATCAGACCATTGCCTCAATGCTTGGATGGTGGTTTGATCTATGAGGTCTTTCTGTGCCGTAGCCCAGAGAAGATTTGTGGCACCATCAAGAACAAGTAGAATGATATACTTGTTCTTGTGAAGTTCAACCTCACAATGATCAGCAAAAACAACATCACCAAAACATGAAGCTCTAATACCGGAGACTCTGGCTCGTGGCGGAGGTGCCACTGAAGTGTTACAAACACGGCAGTTCCTGACAACTGATTCATACTTCTCTAAAACAGAGTCAGGAAGCTTCAACATAGAAACACGTCTACGAAACTGAGTAGGGCTCATATGGTAGTGCTTCACATGAAGCTTATAAAGCTCTACCTTGTCCTCCAGTCTCTGTAACATCTTCCTATATGCCGGTGTCATTGCAACAACTTCACTACCAGGTAATGGGATTGAAATCCGCCTAGGCTCAAGAGCGCCATCACCTGGTTCAAGTGGTTCATGTTTATCACTTGATGGTCCTTTTGATGCTTTAGGAATTTCTACAAGTTCACCTTCTGGCCTCTCAGGTGGTTCTGAGGGAGCATACTCCTCAAGATCATCACCCTTTAAATCATTCTGAGGCTCAGATGGTTTTGACTTGTCCTTTCCAAAATGGATCAAAACCCTTGGAAGTATACCGAAACTTCGGCGGCACGGGCTTTTCCGCGGCACTTGGTGGTGCACCTTCCTTCTCTGATGAGAAGCCTGGTTCCCTGTCCTTTGCAATGGGAACCTTCTCTGAGGAGGAGCGCACCACTGCATCGGGATCACCAATGCCACGGTGCTCAATGCCAGCCTTCCTGATCTTTAGATCTGGAATTTTGGCATCTGGCTTAAACTTAAAAATTGTTCTACCACGCCATTCATAGCCAAGTTGTAGGTCCTTCCATTTTGCCTTGCGCCAATCATCTGTCTTCTTGATTTCTTCTCCTCCTGCTTTCTTCTTGATGATTGTCAGTCGCAAGTCTTCCAGCAAGTCAGTGTCTACAGGACAGGACTTAGTTGCTGGGAAAAGAATTTTCCTGTAATCCTTGTGGTGACGTATCAGTTCTCTCTTGTGAACATCTACTTCCCAGAAATCAACCACAGGATATGCATGCTCAGCTTCATCTTCATCACTATTGTGTTCAACAGAAATATGGCCATATTCATAGTGAGTGAGGTGAGAGTAAAAACTCTTCTCACGCTGAGTCTGCAGACGCACGTCAGACAGATACCATGCAATGTCTTGGAAGTCCAACACAAGATGAGTACTGGCTGCAACCTTCAACTCCAAAAATTTGATACCAAGAGGCACCGATGTCAGATAAGCATGTTGAGGTGTCAGCCTGAGTTCAAAGCCTAAGTTCCTCATCTGTGGCAAGCTCATAAGCAAAGGGACTTCTCCTTCTTCCACTATGTCGAACTCTGTATGGTGGATCGTCCATGCACGATCATACATGTAAATCACCAGTTTCTGAGAGCAAGAAGCCTTCTGGGAATTGGCAAAGTAGAACTTGCTCTTGGTAGACTCAAAAGAGTACCATAATCCACAATCTGGGTGATTGTCGACATAGTTGCAAAAATGGTCGACTGCTCGCCTTGATCCCATAGCTCTAGTGCATCCAATGTCCAGGATTGCAATAGTTGGCGGGAAGCGATTCTCAGTCAAAAATGAAATGGCCTGCATCTCCTTCACATCTTCCTCAGCGCTCATAAGCGCAAAGCCATCAGGAGCACTTGTGAGCATCTCCTTTGACAAAGAGTACCTCACAGGGGCACTCATGTCATCGAAGATCGTCTCACCATTGTTGACCACGCAGTCAGCTTCATCTTGGCATGAGGTCATCATGCCTGACAGCAAGTTCACCTCACTGTCATGGACTTCAGCTGCTGCTGTCACACAATGTGCAAAGAAACCTTGTTGACCTCCTGATGCTTGTGAAGATCTTGAAGGTGCAGGCAAAGAACGTGGCTGTTGTTGATTTGCATAGTTTGCATCTTGTTTGCCATCTCCTTTATCTTTTCCTTTTCCTTTCTTGCCTTTTCTCTTGCCTTTTCCTTTTCCTTTGTGGGAAAACCATGCTTCTTCAAGCTGTTGCCAAAAGTCATTGGCATCATCATATTCTCCTTGAAGATAGTCATTCATATCTTCGGCAAGAATGGCATCATATGCTCCTTGGTTTGACTCCCAAGTGTCCTCATAAGGATTCTCTTCAAGGTATTCATCAGGAAAAGTTGTCTGTTGCTCATCAGCAAAATGGCCTTTACCTCGTCTCTTTCCTTTTCCTTTTCCACGAGGTCTGAAGAATCTGCGGCCTGATCTTCCTTTACCTTTTCCTTTTCTTCTACCTTTTCCTTTGCCTTTTCTGGCTCTTCTTCCTTGGAATCTCCTTTGGAACCACGAGAAGTTTTGATCATCGTATACCCAAAAGACATCGTCCAGGGCATCCAAAAATCCTTCTGTTCCATCTTCTTCATCTTCGGCCCAATAGCCAAATGTACCATCGAGTTCTCCTTCGTCTAGTACGAGGAATGATCTTCTACCTCCAGCACCTGTCGGCTGCATCAATGGATTGTCTACTGAAGTCTTTGTCGTGCAGAACATCTCGATGAAAACTGTCCTTAGCTCTGTTGTAGTGTATTGCTGCAGGTACCTGCCACGATGAGTCATCAACGAAGTCAAAGTGTTTCGCTGGTCCTGAGACAAATCTGCAAGGGACAGCATGAGTAGGGCAATGAGATTCTCTCCTAAAGGAAAATCATTCTGATGAAGAATTCTCATATTGCCATTGATGGTCTGCATGATTTCCTGAATCCTTTCTGCCGTTGGTGCTACTCCAGTCAACGCTGCATCTGCCTGCATCTGAGCAAGGACTTGGGGATGTGCTTGAGTGACTGGTTCTAACATGTCCATCCAACTGCTCATAAGCCTTTGGAGTAAAATCTGGAATCTTGTCATCCATTTCATCATGTCGGCTGATCCTCGATTGAATCGCACGAATTGCATAAACCTGTATAGGAATACATTGGTTGATCCTTTCACGAAATATGGTCGTAGTACTCGTTTGAAGTAATCTACTCCTGCTCCTGGTGGCTCATTAGCCTTCAATGAATCTCTGTCTAATACACGTTTGTATACTGCTGCTTCTCCTTCTAATCTGTTTCTCAAAGCTGGTCCTCTCTTCTCATCTTCCAGCTCGGTGATATCACACCAATCGTCTATGGCATCCTCATAGGAAAACCATGAAGTCTTTCCATCATAAGATGGGGGCACCTTTGTAGTGACCTGCGTTGTCATTGCTATTGCTGCTGGTTCTCTTCTCACATGCCTATTCACGTAGGCTGCTGGCTCATAAGCCACATCCGCATCAGGCTCTTCCCAGTCGTCTATCCAATCCATGGCTGTTTGCCCACTAGCAATTCTATGCCTAGGAAAGGAGCTCACCTGGGTCTTCCAGGATCACTGCTCCGCTACCACTGAAAGAGTGACTAGGGCGTACACGGTAGAGGTGCAGACCGCTAGTGTCTTTTGCTCACGCAGAGTCTTATCCTATATTGGTCCATTGACCCTCTCTTGAGCCTTATGGCAGTCAAGCATGGACACACTAGATAGGCCACTGGAGTGGAACCTGTACAAGTAGGCCTCTACATTTCAGGGGGGGGGGGGTTTATTAATCCGGTCTATGCATTAACGGGGTAGGACCAATGACCACCGGAAACACAGGCTCCTTGGAGACATGCAAAATAGCTCCAAGCCAGCTCCAAACACATGCGGAACAGGCGGCCTGCCGCCGCCACAGCCCGCTCGGCGGCACTTTGGGCCTCGGGCGTCACGAGACATCGGTCCCATAAGGCTCATAAGGTCAAAAGAGCATATGATACTATGACCTTATATGAACATGATATGGTTGATATATGTCTAGGTTGTGATATGAACGCGTAAGGTGTGACATGCATAAGGTATATGCATAAGGTGTGATATGTTTGATATATGTCTGTTTAAGCATATCACACTACAACAAACATATATCTTAAACAGGATGTTAGGGTGGGTGGTCTGCGATGGGCCCATAAAGACCACCTTGGCGTCTACACAAACCCAGCCCTGGAGGGTTTTGGTATGAGAATGGATGAAACATGATTAAAGATTTGGGAAGCATCCAGAAAGATCATCAAGTATGCCTGGTGCTTGTCAGGGAATCTCACTCTTGCAACCGCTAGTCTCAATCTATTCTATCTAACCTCCAATTGCCAATTCTACATTTCTTGGATCGTTTCCAGAACATGACTATATAGCTTCTTCCATCGAGCCCGTCAACTGGCAGCATTCATATACTGGGACCCTCTTCCGCTTCAATTCACACTCTTCCCACAAAGAACATATATATAACTACACATGTAACAGCACTTCTGGACTTGGTTGCAAACTCCAAGTCCAAGCGCTTCACGTGCCTCGTCCAAGCGTTTCTGTAGGCGTCCTTGGGCCACCGATTCTTGAAGGAGCCGCGCCTGGCGAGAGGGGAAAGCGGCCGTTTTGGGATGCTTGACAGACTCTCCTTGGAAACCATCATGGAAGAGGACAATTAGTGACAATGGCCCCTTGGACCCTTTGGATGACCCGTTTCTGAATACCAAAGAGGTGGTTTGGTTCCACTTGCATGATGATTCCTACGGAAGCTCTTTCAGGAAAGCACGAGGTTTCTGAGTGCATAAGGTTTGCACAGGCCTCGATGTAACCCTGACCCCTGTCAGCCTCTTCTCACAAACCGCACACAAGCAAACGCATCCAGTCCGCCAGTCTTAAAGGATCAAATCTCTGACACTCACTTCACTCACTCTGCATTCCACATGCATATTAACATGCTATGTTCATATGATATATGTTCTTGCTACTTTTTTGGGGAGGAGGGGAGGAACCGGATGGGCTGGGCCCCTTTCAATTCCACCTATGCCCACTTCCACGTCCTCCCGCTCCGCCTCCGAGGGCGCCGGCGCCGCGCCGCTCCTGGGACCTCGATCTGCGCGGTGGATTGGTTGGCGGCCAACCGAGGGAGACCAACCGGGAAACCTATGTTACTATGTTCTTGGGAGAGTAAGTAGTGGTGAAACAAAAGGGGAAGGTGACCAACCGAACCGTGATCTCAAGGTCCGTGAGCATGGCCCCTGAGCCTGTACAGCAGGTTCCTGTGTGGCTGTGAGGTGGTCAAGAACAGTCAATAACATGTCCAAAGGATTCCCACATATTCTCACCATTTCTCACCCACCTGCGGCCTACATCTTCAATGACATGTCAGTACTTCTTTGGGGCCACTCACATCGACTCGCATGATCGCGAGTCTTACACATGGGCAGCTTCAGGACGATTCCCAGGGTGCTGGTATTCTCCAGTCATTTTGGCATTGAACCAGCTGAGGTGCTTGGAACCCACCTCGAAGGGCGCTGCTGCGCTGAAAACGCCTTCATGACTCCCGGACGATGCCCGACGACTCGCTGGCTGCATCTGGGAGTGCCTCACCTGAGACGATGGGACCCTCCGGAGCTTCAGAGACGCGAGCCTGCCGGGGCGAGACGCAGGAAACCTTCCGCGCGTGATGCCGGCGGCCGACATCAGGAGTTTTTGTGGGCCGATTTGGGATCATGGTGTACAGTATTAACCGACGGCCGCAAGTCATTGATTGTGAATTTGGCCTAGTACACCACCACTACCACCGCTACTCCTAGTCCTACTGCTACTGCTACTACTACTGCTACTGTTACTCCTGCTGCTACTATCTGCTACTAAGCAAAGGGTTACCCAAAGTAGAAAAAATTAGGAGAACCTTCTTTTTGCATTGCTGCATTCCTGTGCTTTTTTCATGAAACGAATCACCCCAATCTATCCAAATCTATTCCAACCTGCAGCCTTTTCAAGTCGCTCTGCTTCCCACTCCTGTCCCCCCAACCAAAACCCAGGCGGTCCGCAACGGCGGCTGGCGACATCAGCATGGCCTCAAGGGCCGGGGGTGAGGTGCAACGAAATTCAGGACCTCTAGCCCTTCAGTCCACAAGAAATTGATAAAATGTGTGTCAACATCTAGGAAGACCCTTACATCGAACAATTCGAATCAATAACATGTCGATGGGACGTTCGTCTATATTTTCACCTTCCCATGGGGCCCATTGATGTTGCGCTACACAGGGCCAATAAGACCAAGGTGTTGAGCATATAACCTGCCAGAGTTTTTGCCCCCCCATTCTTCCCCCAATGTTGTACTATGTTGTACTCTTTCTGGTCATCTCTGTTCATCTACCCCACCGAGTTCCTGCGTCCTTTGGAACATGGACACATAACAAATCTGTGAAACATCCTGAACAACCGTTTGCACGTGCTTGTAGATCTTGTAGGCTTGTAGGCTGGGGTTCGGGTTTTGGTGTCCACCACTTGGCGTGGTGCTCATCGAATACAGCCCGCAACCTCTGCAACATCTTGAGCCCGGCGGCACGGAAGAGCGCATCGACCCAGCAAAGGCAGTCCTGAAGGATCGATCGGAAGATGCAACGATCACAATTTGGAAAGCATCCCTACCCCACAGCATCTCCAAGAATCGAGGCATCTAAGACTAAGAAGCATCCCGCCATGAGAGCGTACAGGACTATATCATCGGGGGTGCTTCTCTTTTGGCACCTCATTGAGGAGATGTTTTTTCTTGAAAGCGAGCACGTACAACAGCATGTGAAGCCATGAATCTCTGGACGGCCATGGAAGCTCCGTCGTGCCAGGCTGTGTTAGGACATGGGCTGCGAATGCACGCTCCCCTCTGCGAAGGCATGCCTTGATTCCCACCGTCAGTCCTGCGCGTGGAGTCTGCTAGCGCATTCCTGGCGCCCGGGGGATAGTCAAACAAAGCAACATCACTAGCGCTGAAGTTGATGACCTGGGCCTCGAAAAAAATGACCTGGGCATACTTGGCCCAGGTAGGGCACTAGCATGTATATATTCCATCACCAGCGGCACCAGCGCCCAGTGGGTGATGATTGTTAGTAAAGGCATGTAAGGCATATAAAGACCTTTCCCCCAAAACAAGTCATCATCTCTTACCGACTGTTATAGTGGTAATTGGACACACCCTGCTTGTGCCAGTCTTGTTCTTTTTGGAGCTAGGTCTACCTCTTGACAGTGGATGCTGAGATCCGATGATTGCCCAGGCCCGTCGAGTTACTATGCCTTACGATGCCGCTGCTTCTGGACGACAAAGACGTCATCACATGGCCACCCAGTGGCCACCCGATGATTGCCCTGGCCTTGTCGAACTTGGTGAACATCAAGTACTGGACATCCTGTGCTGCGCTCCAAGCTGCGCCGCAAGGAGGAGCGCACGGTGTTTTCGTGACATGAGACATGAGACATCATGAGACATATGAATGGACTGTCAGTCGGTCAGATGTTCCAACATGGCCAATTGGCAAACTTAAAACACATATATATATATAATTACATTGGCACCCCTTTGAAGGTCTAAACAAATCAATTGGTCTACTATGGCCATCCTTCAGGGTACATCCGCCCCCTGTGCAGCTTCACACCATCCATCCTAAAATTGTATATATAAGAATAAATGTAAGAAATAACGACTAGCAGCGACTAGCAGTGTCCATGACCGAGCCACTGAGGTGTTGGACTCTTAGCGGCTCAAATCCCGGGTGTTCTATCGAACTGAGCCAAAGTCATTTTTGAAAGGATCATGCACTCTGGCAAGCTGCAAGTGCTGAATGCCGAAGGCGGCCGAAGGCTTTGGATGTAACTGATGTAGCCCTGAAACACCAGCTGGGATGATTGAATCTTCAGCCTTTCTGAAGAAAGTGACTCTCCACTCCCCACTCGATAACGCGCCTGGCTAGGCGTGGGAAGGCCCTTGCGCTGGAAAACTGCGTCTGAGAGGTCTTGGACCTGCGACAGCATGGGTGGGCCGACCTCTCTGAGGTAGATGGCGGTTGATCAGTCAATCAGGGTCCCTCGTCTTGAGCCCCCTTATGTCCCTGCCCGAATGCAAAACCATGATGCCAAGCAACCTTGGGAAAGTGGACGCTTCCAAGCCTTGAAAGTTGTTGACTCTTTGGGGCAGCGTTTATGGTGAGACAAGGCTGGAAGGCTCAACAGTACGTGAGACTGTTCTAAAAAGGGTGTGGGATGCTTCATGACATCCCAAAGGCCCCAAACAAATGACCGAACGTTCCGTAAACAGCACTGGTGGCACTGGGATTCGAAACTAAACTCGAGATACTCGAGATACAAATTCTCCACTCCAAACTCTATCTCCCAACATCTACGAACGATCGTTTGCATGCTATCAGTAGGCCAAGCACTCACTTGCGCACCCCCAAATAACCTCACTTGCGC